AAGTGCCATAGAAGATACCAAAGAAGATAAAGTATTTTTTATTTTAAGTATTTTTTATTTATTTATTTTTTTAAATATTATCTTACAATAATAGAGTTTTATTTATATAGAATTGGCATTCGTTTTATTTTTAATACTATAATATAGTTTTTTATTCATATAGAGTATCTAAAAATAATAAAGTTTAATAATAATAAGTAAATCACAATGATAAAGTTTTATTTATGTAGAATATCTCACAATAATAAAGATTTATTGTAGAATTGGCATTCATTAATTTTATTTTTAGTATATAATGTTCAACAATAATATATATGTGCTTACATTATATTATCTTACAATAATACAGTAGTTTTATTTATGTAGAATTGGCATTCGTTAATTTTATTGAATCCTATATAGGCAATAAAATCTTGTATAATGTAGCTCAATTTAACTATACCTATAAATTCATTCACTTCCCAGTTAGCCAAGTCTGTTCTAACAGATTTTGGCAAGGCCTGCTACAAATTATTGTCAGCAATAAGGCTACGAATTGGGTACAAAAGTTGTTATTACCGATTAAGCTGGTAGATTGACGGCAAAAATTGAGCAAAGGTTGCCGACATAACCTGACAGTAAATTGGCGGCGGAAACCGAGCAAAGCTTGCTGACATGACTGACAGACTGGCATCAGATTGTCGGCACGAACTGAGCAAGATCTGGCGTGCACAATATAATAGATATGTGTAATGTGAAATATATGTATATTCATTATGTTACGTCCTGGCGACTCCACGATTCCTTTCTTCCGCGACGTTGCGGTAACGATCGTCAGTTGGTGATAAGAACGAACCGTTCAATAAACAAAGCATCTTGTGCCATACGTTTCTTTTAAATACTGTCATTTGTCAGTAATTACATCCACGAGTATCCGTGGGAAAGACGCAAGGAAATCGGTGATGGAAACCATGCCGGTCTCCTCGGGATAAATGAAAAATAATATCTATCCCTTGCAGTAGAATTTCCGGCGGAAGAACAACGAGATAACAAGAACTTTTAACGAAATGTTTAATAAATTCAACTGCATTAATACTGATAATAATTTTCTAACGGACAAGTAATAAATACAGCTGCATCAACGTTGACAAAAATAATTATAAGGAAGTGAGACCCTTTTCTAATCAGATCATGTGCGCGAGGGTCCCCCGGAAAGGCTAATGTTTAAGGAACTTTTGAAATAATAACGAACTCACCAACCGACGATCAGCACGGGTAAAAATATGAAAATAGGAGACACCCCCTGCCGAATGAGGACACTGGCACGACTCTAATTCGTTAAAATCTTGAAGAACCCCTACTTTTGCATAATTTCAATTCGTTGAGGTTTTTGGAAGATCCCCACTCTTAAAATTAGAATACACACCCACAAGAGGATTATAAAAAGAGAACTCGTAAGACATTCAAGAGATACATTTTTTTTACATTTCACAACCTCACACTTATTCTCCAGTCTTCAGTCTAACGCAGTCTTATTCTGTGCTTTTGCACCGTAATTCGCGAGTTAGTTACTTGTGCAACCAATGTCCTCACTTGGCATCATCTCCAGAGCAACCACGAGTCGAACATCGGGCCAGTAATGCAAAAGTGAATGGATTTGTAGATATAGTTAAATTGAGCTACTTTACGCAATATTTTATTGCCTATATAAGATTCAATAAAATTAACAAATGCCAATTCTACATAAATAAAACTGTACTGTATTATTATGAGGTAATATAACATAAAGTGCCATAGAGGATGCCAAAGAAGATAAATGAAGTGCCATAGAATATACCAAAGAAGATAAAGTATTTTTTATTTTAAGTATTTTCTTTTAAATATTTTTTATTTTTTTTTTGTATTATCTTACAATAATAGAGTTTTATTTATATAGAATTGGCATTCGTTTTATTTTTAATATATAATGTTCAACAATAATATAGTAATATATATAATATAATATAATTTAATAATATAATATCAATTTAACTACACCTATAAATTCATTCACTTTTGTATTACTGTATATATACTTTGGCTTTCTTTGCATACATATAACTAATATTATAATAGCATGTTGTACAATTGCGAGATATATGTGTAATGTGAAATATATGTATATTCATTATATAGGTTTCTCTTTTTTTATAAAATATAATTATAGATAGAATATCTAAATAAAATTTTAATATATATATATATAAAAGTTATAATTGTTCTTTTTATTTTACACAAACATATAATTAAATATAGTTTTTTTCAAGTCACACTTAATTCGTCTTTCTGTCCTTCAATATGTATGCAAAGAAAGCCGAAATATACATATACTACGTATATATACTGACAAACGGATTAATAAATTAAAGCGATTAAAATTTTGTTCCAATAAGATCCACTTTGAGAATAATAAATAAATACTACGTATGAATACTTTGGCTTCCTTTGCATACGTGTAATATTATAATAGCATGTTGCAATGCGAGATATATATTCATAAGTTTTATGAACATTATCAGAGAGAAATCACTGACATTATTACATTTTTGATAAAATCGTAGGAATTTACAAGTTTTACTTCACAACTATATAATCAAAAATATAATAATGTCAGTGATTTCTCTCTGATAATGTTCATAAAACTTATAAATATATATCTCGCATTGCAACATGCTATTATAATATTACACGTGATTCAATATGTTGAATAGCTTGAAACTTCTGAAACACGAATACCGAAAGTAAATTTAAGCTATAATTATATAGTTATAATTATAGCTTAAATTTGTTTTCGGTATTCGTGTTTCACAAATTTCAAGCTATTCAACACATTGAATTCAACTTCAGTTCAATCACTTAACATAAGAGCAAGGATTCCCCTTACCCCATTATAAATAGTAAATATTTCTTTTACTTCGACAGTTATTAATCGTTTTTATGTCCATCCGAAGTTAAATGCTTTATGGTCACTTCCCTCTGTCTGTGTGCAATGAAAAGAACAGAATTTTAATATTTAATTTAATTTACATATCTGGTTTTATATGTGCTACTGAATGTTTTATATGTGCTACTATATTGTACTTACTGTCTGTTACTGCCAAATCTCTATAACCCAATATGTTACGCTGTTTAGCAAAGTTCTGCGGTAGAAGACCATATGCAACCCCAGCTGAAGAAATCCCAGCTAAAAGTATACCAGCCTTCTTGAAAGGATTGATTGATTTTGCTTTATCCTGCAAATAAGCGCTATAATTTAGACAATATTCAGATATAATCAAAAAATAATATACTTATAAAACAATAAATAAACATATATAAGCAGACATATATAAGCAGATATATATACACTATAATTTAGATAATATTCAGATATAATCAAGAAATATACTTATAAAACAATAAATAAACATGTATGACCAGATATATATACAAAATTTCAATCTACTTATTCGATAGAACCAAATATATTTTCTTGCTATACAACCTTAACCTTATTATATCTTGACGTCGCGATGCTACCGCGTACCGCGACTACCGCATCGCTTGATACCAGTGATGCCAGAATGCCCACGCTAGCAACACGCTACCGTAGTGGAGGGGATACGCACACAAGCAAAAACCGTGTACATGTAATGCGCAGAGCGTTCTGCGCATTACATGTACACGGTTTTCGCTTGTGTGCGTATCCCCTCCACTACGGTAGCGTGTTGCTGGCGTGGGCATTCTGGCATCACTGCTTGATACGTCTCATATACGCATGCACGCACATACGCATTGTCTCTCAAGGCGTATTTGCACACTCAAGCGAATAATCGTACATGAGCGCTGCAAACGCGCCTTGAGGGACAAAATCGCTTTGCGTGTGTGCGTGCGAGCATACACATACGCATAGGCGTATTTGCACACTCAAGCGAATAATCGTACATGAGCGCTGCAAACGCGCCTTGAGGGACAAAATCGCTTTGCGTGTTTTGCGTGTGTCATACGTACGTGAAAGTCTGAAACTTATGATGATAATTATGAAGAACGAAAAATGTCACAATTCTGATATACGATCATCATTTCTCGGGATTGACTGCACCAATCTTATTCGAACCGGTCGCAATCAGAAGCTTGTATTCACATTATACAATAAAAGGGCCGTTACATTTTTTATTATGGCTTTAGTTATTAAAATATCTTAATCGAAAGTTTACTAGACCTAAAATTCCGGATAAGCTACTTGGTAGCGTCGCGGCCCCTGTACATAGGCAAACCGTTGACAAGC